TGCATAGCTAGCTTGTAGATAATACAGTGCTGCCAGAATGATGTGAGCGTCTTTCCTATTATAACTATGACGTCCTATAGATGGTGACCACCAATCATGAAGCGGTCACCACGATGACGGTAGCCTCCTCGACTACCTAATGTAGCTGCTGAATCCGTGTATATGTGCGACACTAATTAGGGTTCCCCACATATGAGCGGCAGCCCAATCCAATGAGCAACGACGGCCCCCTGTACTCGTATCTCTACTAGTTTTCACTCATCTCGAATACTTGTTTTAACTGCTAGGCTCGCGTTTATGTGCAACGTTGATAATGAGACTGCACCTATGCAGAGTAGCATAATCCAATGGTCAATGACGGTCTTGTATGCCGTTAACTATACGCGATTCCGCTTGTCTTCGCTAGCTACAGTAAGCATCAGTACAATTTATATGCCGACTGGTAAAAATAAGGCCTCAGATATGCATGATAGCCACATCTGGCAGCCTGTTATACACACAAATGTACTCGAGGTCATCTAACTTGGCTGTTGATCGTACCTGTTGGGAAGACTAAACTATACACACATACCTAATCTAATGGCGAACGACGGGCCTCATACATCTGTAGGCGATATCGCCTAAATTGATACTTTTGAAAAACTGCTAGGCCAGTACCCATATGCGGCGCTGATTATTAGGGCTCAGCTATGCGCAGATGCGCTTGTGCAAAACACTGCACCACACTGCCTCTCTAACCGCATCAAAAAAATACCCGCGATCTTAAATAGGTTTTGTTCAACCTCTGAGGATTTTCTCTGCCAACTGAAATTATCCTCCCCCTCCTCCAAGCCAAATCATTTATAAAATGACGTCCGTTACGAGACTGTCCAGAAACCGAAGTATTCCAGCGCGCCGACAGAATGCAACTGCTATACCCAGTTTGATAGCACCCCCGCAAATGCCGACTTCCCTCTCTTGACTTAACCCCATCGCCCACCTGTCCCCTTACATGCAACTACAAACAAACCCACGTTTTATGCTGACTGTAACAATCCGATAATATCTAACGATGCGCTTCCCATCTGCTGGAATAATTATCTCTATGATAACGTAACACTTTGGGTGCAAAGTGCACGCCAAATGACTACACAATTGTCATCCTCACTAACAAGAGCAAGAAATGCTAACAGAGACTCACCAAGTGCACCTGATAATTCGCCTCGGACTCAACTGGTATTGCAAGGCTTTTCTTTAGTTGCAACAGCTCCATTCTGAAGTCAGCTCATCGTGCGAACACGCAGCAGCACCAGATATATCTGATCTCATGTATCTGCAAACTCTGAGCTACCTTAGTTGCGCACAATCTAGTCAACGCAAGTTCCTCATGTTCACATACGCAAAATACAGTTTGCATCGATCGTATACCTGAATAAAGATTGTCGCCTATAATAGGGGTGTGTCGTTCCTTCGGAGCAGTTGGGAATCGTGATAACTTTTGACTGTCTACTATTTCAGGAGACATTCCAATTCACATCAAAATGCTTTCTAGCGAACCTTTCGGACATTTATCCTATCTTGGGTCCCATATGTAGACATGACTGTCTTTTTACCTCGCTTGAATGGCAACAATGAACCACCACGAGCCCTCGATAGACAAAGAAATATCCTAACTACAAGGACAGCCATAAACGGCCCATCAAAGATGTTCATGTATGGAGTTGTCCACGGATCGAAGTACGGCGTCGCGATGACGGTACCGCGACTACCATACCCAGTCTGCTGGCTTGCCCGTAGTTCACTATACTTCTCATAGTTTCTAGAAAAGTGTGCTACCTACAAGACCGTTTCAGTCGGTTCAACTAGTGTAAGGACTAAAAAGCAGTGGCCATCTTATTGTACCATCTACTTGTTTTGCTCACAAATCCAATAATTCACCCAACGGCAATATTTGTGGCTCGGTGAAGATCAAACCTTGCTTAAGCCACTTCTAACGTATGCTTACCATCATGAAAAAAGACTTACTAGCTGTGACGAAGTCCTTGGTTTCGGCGAGACGCTCGTCGCAACCATAGAGGAATTTTCCACATCCAGGTTGCGAATGGCTTCTCCAGTAATAGTTTGCGTCGACTTTATAGGGGTGATTGTCGCCTACGTCGTTTTGAGATTGCATCCCAATCCAATACGCAAGAAAACACTCAAAGAAACAAGGTTTTCCACAAAATGTCCCACCGTTTTTATAGCGATAATTGTCGAAGCCACCGGCTGCCATGGAAATACAAATTCTGTTCCCACAGTGGACTCCTAGTTTGTTTAAACTATTTCTTATAAAACTGCGGCCGTTTGGCCCGAATAATTACTATCAAATGCTAAAACACTACGTTCAAGTTTTCTTTTTTCGAACCGCGGTTTCAGAGGAATTTTGGGTGTGTCTAGGATGCGGTATTTGGGGTCCATATGCTGAGTTTGTGTGTCGTGATACACAACTCTAGCAGCGTTATACCTACCTCTAAGAATTAAGTACGTGAAGTAGGTATTGCTGAGGCTATTCGGGCCATATGTTGAAATCCTGTTCGCATTCTCTTTCCAGTGATCCAGAATCTTCGACTACAATCGATAAGTTGCGTACTTAGCTGTGTCCTCACTGATATGCAACCTATTAATCAAATTGGACTAGAACTGCAGACGGCTAATTTGCCGCGCTCACTTCAACGGTGGTTGGCATGACGACAGGATGGTTAAAATTGTCATAAAGCGGGCAGATGTCTCGTATTTCATCGTAGAGGTACCCGCGAGCTTCAGTGTGGAGGACCTAATAAATCTTGTATGTGAAATCTACAATGGATACCTAAAAATAGGCAGACTGTGTGCCGAAATCGACGATTTAGCTAAACATGGCGTTTCACTACCTCCCAACATGCAGGTGAGTCGTTTCTTCTAAATTGCGTTAGAGCGCTCAGGGTTTAACAGAGGACCAGGTGACCGATTTGAAGTTGACGGATGACTGGGGCGAGAAATGCATTCCAAGTGGTGGCTACATTGAATGTAAGGACGAGATCGGTAGAAGGAATGGAAAAGGTGAGATAACTTACATTGTTTAATTTAATAGCACCAAACGAAAAAATGGCCGAGGTATTGCGGAGAACTATAGACGAAGCTAAGAGGCTGGTCAGCAAAGATCTTGTGAAGCGTGATCAGTGCATGGATAAGTCGACAGTGAAAGAAGCGTTGATGATGTTGAGCGGTGCCGTAACTATCGTTTATCCCATGGGTTTGCCGCCACACGATCCGATTAAAAAAGAGTTAGACAATGAAGAGGATCTCGAAGGCACTCAGGTAAGTTTCTTTTCTCAGGTCTCAATCACGCAGTGACTTCTCTGAGATTCAGCTTTGATTAGTCCAGTAATAAACAGTCAGACAAAGACTGGTTAACGCTTGTGCTGAAGTTAATCGCATTGCGATGCACTCCTGGAATAATGGCTCTTTGCGCTTCTCACTTCAGTCTGAAGACCAGCGTGCTTCCTCTAAACGATCAAGAAACTGTCTTCGTGTCAGCAATGCTACTCTCTGTTTTGGTTAAAAAAGCTAGAAAACTTCAACTCTAACTTCCGAACTTACGGAGTATATAACAGTTGTTCAATCATCGACGAACCGTCGAGCCCCAAAAAGTCAGCCTGGTGTCAGCCTGCTGTTGCCATGCGCCTCTGGAGTATTAATGAACATTTGGCCTCGGCCTTCATATTTTCAGGCTGACTAACCTTCCAGTCGCTTCGTAAGCTGATTAGATGCTTCAAGGGGCCGGGTGGTAAGGAAAACATCCGATGAATTGTGAGCGAATAAATGAACGGTGGAGAAACAAGTCGGAACTGGATGATCCAATGGTGATTTGCCATGAGATAAATGTTTCTGGCTGGTTGGGCTGACAAACGTCGATTGGCGAGATATGCCCATTCTCAAGTTAATTTAGCGTTAATGGGTGGCTCAACTAAATCCAAGATAAAGCTGCCGTTTATGGTATTCTTAGAATGAAACTGCCACAGGCGGAACATCTCTGTAGTATCCGAGATAGTGCAGTATATTTACTTGTCTCCCTACTCGCCGATGCTGAAAACTACCTTCCCCCAGACGGTTTGGACCGTCTTGGGAATGATCCGGTAGCACATTGTCCGGATTCCCGATTTCCTTATGTTCCAATTCACCAGGCGACTAGCATCTCTACATCCGTGGAAGCAGCGATGCTACCCTCTCCCCAGAAAGACAAGGTTAGAAAGGGTTGGCCCTAAAAATCACAGACCGATAGCTAAACGGTTGACTCTGACTGCCAGCGCATTATTGAATGCGGTCGAAGTACTTTTGAAACCAGAGTTTGGTGCTGCTCAAAAGGCACCTGCTGTGCTCAGCCCCTACAGGAGTGAGAAGCCCTTCACTCCCTGCGCCCTTGAGTTAGGCCAGACCCTTGAAAATGAGCAGGTCAGACTACTGAGTCGTCGGTTCTTGGAAGGGCCCTCAAAGAAGACCCTACTACCCACTGCCTCTGGGGTTACACTTTGGAGTTGGAACCCCATTCCTCGGCCTGATCAACCGAGAAGTATCATTTGCCTGCGCAGTTATTTATCCACAGATATCTCTCTCCAACCCCACCTCACCACACAAGCAAAAGTTTCTGGGTCATCTGATTGTCAGTTATCTGACTGATGTACCTTTTGCACCCTGATGTCTATTAACAATAAACACTGCTAGATCCACGAGATCCTTTTCACCTAGGAGCTTTCAACATCTTCACTATGTCAGACTGGGAAACAGGCAATGCTCCTCCACACCTTACATTACCTTAAAATAGATGTGTGCTGCCTGCTAAACACATGAAAAAATACGCAAACGTGATCATCCATCTCAAAACGCTAAAGCATAACTCGGCCATTTCACTTTTCAGGATCCATATGTCCGGTGATCCTGAAACGATGACTTCTGGTATATATGGCATGGGAGTTGTACTCAACCCCAGACCCGAACGTGTTTTTGTTGGAATGGATTCCAGTGAACAGTCGTTTTGTGACGTCCGTTAATCAATGAATTCAAATTTTCATCTATAAACCATGTATCATAGGCTTTTGGTTCCAGATGCTACAGTTTCGACCACCGGAAAACAGGAGAGTTTGGGGGATACAGACAAGCCTTGGAGCGGCATATTTAGTTTGTCGGGAAATCGGGTAGCTACGCATTGAAGGCGATAGCTTTGATGCACGAGCTCCACTGATCGCACGATTGGGCCACTTGTGCCAGTGTAATTAGCCATAGATGAGTTGATTCCCAGGATCCCCATCCTGGGAGGCGGCAGTTGTCGACCGGACTAAGTTTACTTGTTAGTGTTTTCATACTTCGTTGCCCGGTCATAGTGTCCAGCTCTCGGTCGCTACTCCTGGAATGCCCCCGTGGACCCTGACCATACTATCGTCTGCTGCTGGTTTCGTTACACTTTTTACGTCTATACAGAACTCGCAAGCCTCGCTTAGAGATTTAGAAGCTAGTAGACCCAGAAGCCAACCGAACCTATGGGAACGGCGCCTCCAACGCCTTTCAGTCTTGTGTCAGATGACAAATGTCACTAGGGACAGATTGGCAAAGCACTTTTGTCTGCGGTATAACTCAGCCAACCTCGTCCAAAAATTCGATCTCCGATAGGACCATGACCGTGTTGGAAGTACGACGACATATTCCTCCTGGTCCCAACCACAACTCAGCTCGACACATCATCATACCTCTTGGGAAACTGATTTTTTGTGCAGACCGAGAAGTTTAGCGAATTCGAAGTGGAAGATGCGAAAAATATTGGAAACGTCCGCAGTTCGTTCCACTTGATTCATTCAGCTCGGAAGCTCATTGTCAACTAAACTATCAGGGACATGAACGGCCCTCTGATATTCAACAGAGAATCTTTTGGTCATTTGGCACAGTACTTCGAACAGCAGTTCATTTGTCTACCTGCAACCTCCGATGCGGACTTTCGGGCTTTAACAGATAGGCGGACTGTGAATACGGAACGCCATTCAGCTCCAGAATAGTCTGGGACTGTACCCCTAATTAATTGCAATCGTACTCGTGATCTTGACAGTCTTCCACCTACTCTCTTCTAGGATGGTGGTGAATTATTTAATCGGTGCCTGTCTAGCCTATTGACGCTTATCTTAGGGAAATAGACTGTCCCACACAACTGAGGTAGGCCGGTAATAGTGTCCATCTTCAGATGGAGCGCTCGCGGCAAATGTGTTAACCACAGAGGCGCCTGTTCGACTCCCGTTGCAACAGGTCCTCTGAGTCAATGATTCTTCGTCTTGCGATGGCACGCGAAACCGTAACCCGTGAGCACCAAGTGGGATTTCGATAGGGTAGAAGGTTTGTCGACCACATCTCTACGTTCTGTCATGTGTTACAGCGACGCTACATGTACCGACGATCCAGTCTACGTTTAGTTTGACTTCAGGTTAAGTTTGATTCTGATATTGACCAGTGCTCTTAACCACACTTGCTCAACTTGGGATGCCCCAAAACGCAATCTAGTCATTGTCATCATCATTGACGGCAACACCGGATGAGGACACGGGTGCTTCACTGCCGTACAGCAATGTCATTGTGATGGGAAAAATAAGGCATTGGAGGAGTGATGGAGACTTACAACTACCCCATTACGAACATTCGATGTGCATGCTCCTCCAGCACTTAGTCAGACAATCTGGATAGAAACTGACAGCACGAACACCATTGTCGGTGCTTATGTTCACATACTTCAGGTCTCACATGCTGACATATCCAAAAGCTTCCCTAGGAAAATGGCTTCCAGCAGGAACGTCCACTCTTTGCTGTTCAGCTGATCTGGAATATGAAGATGATAGCGGAGCACGTGCTCTGCTGAATTAATTGACCTCCATCATTCCATCTTTCTGCACACCTCTTTCACCTTCGCAGTGCGTAGTCATTCTTCAGAACCTGTGGTCTCTGAGCGCGTTCTTTGAAATCGAAGAAGCATCAAAGTTTGTGGAAAATGTTACATACCTCGATGCTCGTATTAGCTCTGACATAAGTGTGTCTTATGAAGCCGGTACACAAATCTCAAAGGCCAGAATCACGTTTCGTAATTTGCGCCACTTGTGATGTCAAAGCGGCATATCACTGGGTTTCAAGGGTCGCGTGTACCAGGCTACAGTAAACACTGTAGCTGTGAAGCATGGCCTCTGCGGACAGATGGTGTGGGATATCTTCGGGTTTCTGATCATTGATACCCCAAAAACGTTGCTGGTGTCGGATGGCCTCAGTGAATTCTTAACAAACTAATTAGAAAACGGATACTTGTTCGTGCATGAGGTACTTCAGTCCACTTTCATCTCGGTTCGTAACCCAGCGTTTTTTTCTCTGTAAACCTCCGATTCATCCTACCCTGGAGTTGTTTTCGCCTGTCAGTCTTGCTTCAAAGAATGATAGTTCATTTCATTTCCAATCCAATCCCTCCCTTCCCATTGGTATATAACATTATTTTCCCTACTTTATCCGTACTCATGTTAGATGTCCCTCCAGACTTGCGGCTGCTGTATTCCTTCCACATAGTTTTTAGTCGTCCCATCCGTCCGTGCTCTTCCACCACCTCCTACGAAGGCAGTATGCACCGGTGTTGAGCTTATTCATTTGGCCCTTTCCCGCCGAACGATCACCCTAAGGAAATAGGCTGCTGTCATGCACACTCTTGTCTCGTTACCTCAAGCTTTTCAGGACTCGCGTTGATGTCTTCCTAGAGAATCTACTTTGACCATATTTTTTACTAGTTTATGGCGTATTGGATTTACGCGAGGTTGCGGTCACTATGCGGCCAAACGATTTTCGATGTTTCCGAGCCTGTCATCGTCTCAAAGGGACAACATGCAATCAGCATACATTCACAAGGGCCCTCTTATTTGTCTATGTGGCTGGTTTTTAGCGTGTTTGACCAGTTGATTAAGCTTTGGCAGCGCTAAATGCATTTACCTTCGTGTACATGTCACCAACGGTCACATCGGTGTCTGAGTTTTTAGCTCGCTGTAACAGACCACCTAAAGCGTCACATAACCTGTCGCCGGCAGACCTGGACTCCGTCAGTGTTTAGAAGAATACAATAAACACGGAGCCGTAGACCTCTTGTGATCTTTTCATAGATCTTGCCAAACGAACCGCGCAAGTATCCAGTTGCACCCGGATGACGTCGTCTCAACGCGATGACTACTAATTCTACACGAGATTCATATATGTGTATGCTTGCAAGTACATTTTGTCTGATTGTGTCTGGGATGTAAAGTAAACCAAATGTAGGGATAATTCAAGGTTTAAACCATAACAAAATGGTGGAAGGCAGCAACCGTGTATTGCTAAGAATAATCTGTGGAAAGCTTTGGAAAGTACCTTCAGTAGATGACCTCAGCTTATATGCAGTATTGCTTTGCTTGCCTGTATGTGGTGTATGCTCCGTCGGACCAGAGCGCTGTTCGGCCACGTGGCTTCCGTCAGTTTTCGTCTCTGTCTGGCTTGCGGGTCTAGCTCTCAGAAGCATTTACTTCACCCGTTGATGAACTTGTTAATCATTTCGGACTTGATGGTTCATGTGTCCAGCGGAATGGTATGCGTGTCTCGCCTTTTTGAACGACGTAAAACTATCACCGCCTATGCAGATAATTTGTGAAATCCAGTCTCGGGGCTTATGTTGGGACTTGCTGTCGCAGGTGGAGTAGCAGCTTGCAGTATCTCCAACTGACATCTGGATGGTCATTGCAGTCGTGCAATAATGGGAGCACTCCAGTATTTAGTTACAAGCATGTTCCTCCAGTGCTTCAACCGGAATTCAATTATGCCTTTATCATATTTCCCCCTTTCGTCTTACAGGTTGAGCTGAATACCGGCTAATCCGTTGGCTTAATGAATGCACCCCGTGTAACCTACGAAATACAGGCCACCAACTCCCTTTTTGCGTACTCTGATATTCAGCTGTTTGGTCGTCCCTACCTGACATGAAAACTATGAACCTATTGGTGGTTTTAGAACTGACTCTTTTAGCCCTACGGTCTTGGTGTCCTGGACTCTGGAATGTTCTAACGTGTGATTCGGTGTAAGCTGCTTGTGGTGATTTCTGGCATGTTGGGACGTGGACATAATTTGATGTAAAAGGCAAATCCCTACACGAACACCGATCCACTGCATGTCAAATGCTTGCGGCAGTGTCCAGTTTGTGTGGAGATTGGTTAAGCTCGCGCGTCCACCCCAACATGTGAATTGAATTGAACACCCATCTGACCAACTCCGACGACTGAGCGTTTCCGCTTCCTGTCACTCCGCATGCACCGCTAACCGTAGCTTTTTATCAAGCTTGACAGAAGTGCTCCGTCCGTAAGCGCGACAGAATGCTTACATATAGTTATTCACGCGATATTTCGTCACTTGATTTGATGTGGATTGCGTTGAGTCTGAGCGATACTGGCTACGAGGTGAATAAGTCGTTTAATACCCGGAAGAGTTGCTGCATCGGTCGGTCGTCAGTTTTTATGACAGCGCTGTATAACTTTTGAATCCGAATGTATCGACTGACATTTTTGTCGCCTAAACCTGCTTGACTATGCACAGTCATCACTTTCAAAACTTAATGGCTTGTTTCTCCAGGTTTCCTCTGCTAACCGACTAATGAGCGGCGAAGAACAATGCCCAGTTTATCTGACAGTCTATTAATAGTTGGTATATGTGTTGCATTCACATGCCGGTGCCCCAAAATTATGCCCACTGAGCTTAACCTTCTTTAAAGTGTAAATTATACCCAACTCGCCTGTATTTTCCACCAGGACTTTTGTTAATAACTTGCGTACTCGCTTCCATGTACCCTAAATAGGCGGCAAAAGAAGTCATCCCTATGGAAGAGGGTACGTTGTGGTTCTCCGGCAAGGAAATGCTTCGCGGTAAACAGCTATCGGACTACGTTGGACGAAACGAGAAGACGAAAATTGTAGCTAAACTTTCTAGGCGTGGTGCCGGAGCCCCAGCCAGAGAGCCTGTTGTGAGTGAGGATGATCAGAGGGCTATGATGTCTTATTATTACAAGAAACAGGAAGAATGGAAGAAGTTGGAGGCAAACGACGAGGATTCTTACCTTGACTCCGCATGGGCTGAACCTGGTCAACTCAAACGTCAATTCCATGGACTCGGTGATATTAAATGGGGACCACGATGATATGGACGAAGTTTTTTCCGGTTCCCGGAGTTGAGATGTTCTACGATGAAAGCTTACGACCACTGGCGTTTGGATGTATATAATTGTGGTCTACGGACCACAACTATATGACTACCACAAAATGTATTTGACGAATCACATAGTCATGAATTCTGGTTGTTTGTGCGCTTATTACCGTAAAAATTGGCACCGTAAATGCTTGTCACGGGTGATGGAAATGCGAAGTAACGAAACGGCCTAGGTTTGTCTTTCTACCATGATTTACTGGAACTTCTTTTTAAAGATTCCTCGTACTCCTTGTCCTCCAGTTCAGTTAGTGATGGAAAAGTGGGTGACATTGAGCAAGGAGCGAGTATTTATTATTGGCTTTTATACACTCAGGTTTAAAGTTGACTTTGAACAGCTTTCCAGAATTGAATCTGTGTGCGCGGATCACGGCCTTCGCTTCAAACGCCATGCGAGACTGTAGAGATTGTCCATGGGTTCAGCCACTGTCGTGTATGGCTGATTCACTAAGTTCCAGGCTTCATACAGGACTCCAGAAGGTATACTGAACATAAGCTGCTCTTGACAAAGCGCGTCTGCCAAGGCACGTGGCGTTTCCGATTGGATTGCCGTGGTATAAATCAAGCATGCTGAAAGAGAACAGGACAAAAATGCGGCAGTCAGTTACGTAGACCAATAACTGCCTATCGTGGAATTTGGTTCTATATGCGTTTTAGTATTTGCTGACTTAAGCTTCATCTGGATTGGGCTTTTAGCAGATATTGGACCAGGTTCTTGACCTTGATTATTTCCTTGACCTTTGAAGTGTGTGTGGGAATCGTCCCTGCCACGGCATCATATCCAGACCAGTTGTTGTAATGAGTAATGATCGCCAACGGGAAAGAAATGTTAGCATTTGGGTTTTCATGCCAATCGTCACAGGCACTATTCCCGTTCCTTTTATACTTTGGACTGCATGCATGACCTTCGCTAACGAAACTAAGCTCTTCTGTCATTAAGATCTATTTGTTTCCGTTCTGTCAGTTAACGGTTGATAGATAAACGTACCCCGGAAACTTACCCAAGCGATCATCCTCGAATCCTAACGTATATCCCAATAATGAGTTTACACGTTGGATATTTTCCAGCTCCTGTCCGATAACCTAAAACAAAATTATCACAAGCAGCAAACCTTTACTTAATGAAGGGGGATTGGCAAGGTGAACTAAGCAGAACTTGACTGACGAGTGTGTGAGGTTCGTGAAATTTTCAGTGCAATATCTATCTCAGTATTCACTTGCGACTATTGGAATTGTGGAGTTTTTTATTGTTAGTCATCATTGATGCCTTATCAGATGTGCATTTAATCTTCCGGGAATGTCGCGAATGATTCATTGGCACCATTGGGTTTCAATATTACGTATGTGATCGCCATCTTTATAATTTGAGCTCCTCGATTAGTCTCAAACCAACCGCTGCTTCCTTTCGGCAAGGATTTCGACACGAAGGCTTTGGTTGAGGACCCTAATCGTCGTTCAGTCTAGGTTTGCGCGCGCCGGTAATATTCCAGGCCACATACAACCATGGACGTTACAGGTAAAATTACTTTGATGTCACATCGGTCGTCGCGTGGTGACATTGGTCAGGTTGCCTTGTTCACTGCGCAAAACAGGGCGAATAAATGAGAACATATGACTGAGAACATATGACATCGATCCACATACGCTATTCAGGTCTCTATCTCTTGTTTTGATTGCAGTCTTTAACATGAGAACTCCTGGGCGGATTGACCACAAGCCGCTCTTGCGCATATTCTAGGTACTCTGAAATTCTAAAACAGGATCCACGTGAGGTTGTTGAAATTACAGCATCCTCTCTATCTAGACGCTAAAGACTACGAACTTCGAGTGATTCTGATTGGGTTGCAGCGAGTTGCACTGTCGTTGGTATAGCCTTAGGTTTTCAAGCCGAAGCTTCATTGTTCGATTGGAAACATAAATGGCCGCTTTAGTGCTGTCAGACGTCCAACTGCGATAACAACTGGTCTAAGTACTGAACGCTACTTGCTTATCGTGTTTGTTTATACGTCATCGGAGTAGTTCGGACTTGTTGAAAGACGCTGTATACCGATAATTAGCCGTCCTGTTGTCGACCATGAAGAACTCAGATATAGCCATAATAACAGGAGATTTCTGTCCGCAATTAAGACGCCTCAGTTCACTGGAAGCTCGCTTCGGTGGTATTTTTAGTATAAACGCAAAACGCAATGACAATGGTGAACATCTTATGCAATTCTGTACTGATCACCAGCTGTTTCTCAGAAGTACTGGGTTTGGACACAGTGGGTGCCGTTGTGTCTCACCTGGCGTCCTACTGCTGGTTCCGCAGTTAGCTAGAAGGAACTCGAAATCTGCAATTCCTCGTCCTACTCATGAGTAGCTTAAGCAGTGAGTTGCTGGCACTGCCGTGACGGCATGTGCCCTAAAGACTACCGGTGCATGGATTTAATAAACGAGGCATCTTGGCGTTTTTTGGAAGTAAATAAGTCGCTTTGTTACAGAGTAATACTCTCGTTTCCTTGCCACTCATTACTGACTCCACTCTAGTGAGGCCTTAGGTGTACAGTGTTTGAACCAGATGGTCATTTCCTGGGACTGGTCTAGGGGATTAGCTGATGTCCTTCCGTTTGGCAAGCCCTGAACTGAGTGGAGTCATTCGAGGTAGCTAACTTTGATAAAACTTTGGAAAAGGTGAGAAGCAAGACTACTTGAGAGCATTTCCTATTATGCACTTATTTTAAGATTGCACTATGGGAGGTCTGTACACAGTAGAATGCCGTAAACTTAAATGGTGTTTTGAGCGGTTAGTGGTGAAACACGGAATGTTTGACTGATGTACAGTTCTTAGCATGGGTATTCGAGCATTTGTGCATTAAATTTTCATAATTCACACCATATGCCGTGATATCAGGTGTTTGGGAGCTTATTTCCTGGGGTGAGATGGCTCAAGTAGTTAGAGCGCGAATTTACTAATTGGAAGGTCCGTGGCTCTAACCCGATCTCAGCCTCTCGACTTTCCCTGTCTATGCTTGAGCAACCTGGCAATATATCAGCAATATATCCTTCGGGTGGCATGGCAGCTAGACACTGGAAGGTTGTTACAGCTGAACGATTAGTTTCTGTAGCATGTCCTTGAAACAGCCCGGTACTCCATATCGTTCATGCTGCCGGAGTATAATGTCAAACTTGCTCTGACAACCGGTAACAACCACATCACTCAAGCGTTTTAGCCTACCCAGATGTGGTAAAGCAAGTATGTCTGGTATAAGCTGGGGGAGTGGTAGTGACAAACAGGCATCACCTTCAGTAGTCGACGGTTCGATTTCCAGGACC